ATCACAGTTTGCTGTGTGTGGCTCTGCTAAGCTGTATACCGGTCAGAGTGCCCATGATGACCCCTGTCCACTGCCAAAAGAAGAGATGCCAACAGGATGCACTATGGGAGGCTGGCAGAGTCAGTGTTATGCTCTGAGCAATAAACTGGAAATCTTGAGTCCTGGCATTCATTTGAATATCACTTTGACACATGCCACATACCTAGAGATTATTTCACACCAACACATACACCCCTCCATGTTAATGGTGTTTCCTGATGGCAGTGGCCTTATTCAACAGGATAATGCATCCTGCTATACTGCAAAAATTGTTCATGAATGGTTTGAGGAACATGACAAAGAGTTCATGGTGTTTCCTTGGCATCCAAATTCTGCAGATCTCAATCTCATGTGCTGGTACAACAAATCCTATTCATGGGGGTCCCACCTCGCAACTTGCAGGATGTAAAGGATCTGTTGCTAATGTCTTGTTGCAAGATACCACAAGACATGTTGACCCCTTAAGGACTGGACTGTTTTGGCCATGTTGTAGGTTAAGGACCAGAGCTGTTTTTTTTGACATTCTTTATTTATTGAGTTTTTCAAGTCAGGATGGGAGACAGAAAAAAGAAAAAAGGGGGGTGGGGGAGGGGAGGGGGGTTGACAATTATCAAGTTACAATGCGTGACATATACCTTTATAGAGCGTCAGTTCTGTTAGTAGATCAGGGCTACGGTCGGTGTGTTTCCCAAGGTCTATGCATCTTTAACTTGCAGTGTGTCCGCCTGGGCGTTTCTCAGTCGGGGGAATAGGATGCAGCGCAGGTGTGCCACTTGTAATTTAGGTGGGTTCATGTTATTCAGGGGCTTGTGGTTATACTCCGGTATTTTTGATGGGGGACCAGAGCTGTTTTAACTCTTTTGTGGTGTTTGTGTTTAGCTGTAATTGTCCTCTCTCTTATTTTCTGTTCCCATACAAATTATGTTTTTTTTTTCAGAACAGAAAGGGCTTTCTTTACATACCATTATTTCTATCATGTCATATATTTTACTTAAAAAAAATAATAAAATATGATGAAACATTGAAAAAAAAACATGTTTTTGGACTTTTACTTGAAAAATCTGTCACTTACCTACAAAAGCTAATGAAAAAAACTGCTAAATAGATTCAAAATTTTAAAGTTTAAAAACACCCGGTGTTTACATGCTTTTTTTTTTTTTGCAAGTTATAGGGCTATAAGTACAAGTATGAAATTGCTGTTTCAAAATATATATTTTTTAAATATATCAATAGTGACATTGTAACACTGTTATCTGTCATAAATCCCTGAATCACACCTCACATGCACATATTTTTTTTAAAGTAGACAACTCAGGGTATTCAATATGGGGTATGTCCAGTCTTTTTTAGTAGCCACTGAGTCACAAACACTGGCCAAAGTTAGCATTTATATTTGTTTTTGTGTTAAAAATGCAAAAAACAATTATAAACGCTAACTTTGGCCAGTGTTTATGACTAAATGGCTACTAAAAAAGGCTGAACATACCCCATTTGCAATACCTTGGATTGTCTTCTTTTGCAAATGGTATGCCATCATGGGGGTAATTCTCATTCCTGGGCTACCATACACTCTCAAAGGCAAAAGAACCAATCTGGCAAATTTCAATGTAAAAAAAGAAAAGGAAAATCAAGCCTTATATTTGACCCTGTAAATTTCAAAAACACGATAAAGCCTGTACATGGGGGGGTACTGTTATACTAAGGAAGTCTTTGCTGAACACAAATATTAGTGTTTCAAAACAGTAAAACTTATCACAAAAATATCATCAGTGAAAGTGCCGTTTGTGTGTGAAAAATGCAAAAAACTTCACTTTCACTGACAATATCATCGCTGTGATATGTTTTACTGTTTTGAAACACTAATGTTTGTGTTCAGCGAAGTCTCCCGAGTAAAACAGTACCCCTGAAGTACAGGTTTTAGGGTGCCATAGAAAGTTACAGGGTTAAACACAGTGCTACCAAATTAAATTCTCTGGACTTTAGGCCTGGGTTGTCAGGCAGGTCCCTCTAATTGCAATCAATAAAATTACTTAACTATGTAAAAATATTACATAAATATGCATGTAGAATTGAAATATATATATATATATATATATATATATATATATATATATATATATACATACATACATACATGAAATTATTTATGTAATTTTGAATATGGATATATGTATATTTCGTATTATTTGTATTTATTTATATATACATAGATATATATATATATATATATATATATATCATTTCATTCTAAGTGTATTTTGATATAAATATATATAAATTAATATAAAAATACAGTTAGACTAAAATTACATATATATATATATAATTATTTAAAAAAATATTTATTTGTATTTATTATTTATATTTTATTATATATATATATATATATATATATATATATATATATATATATATAGTTATTATCTATTATATATATATATATATATATATATATACACACACACGTGTGTAATTTAATAAGTGTATTTTATATTAATATACACTTAGTTTGACATTATGTATATAAGATATATATGCATATTATATATAGATATAATACATGTGTATATATATATATATATATATCTTATATATATACATATATATATATTTTTTACACTGATTGCTTTTTTTAAACTTTATTTTTTCATTTTACTGCAGCAGGGAGACTGCCTGTCAGCACAGGTAGTCCCCCTGCAGGCAGATACACAGGCACCTATTGCGGCCATGTGACCACTATGTTAGAATGATCACATGGCAGCGGGGTCCTAATTCGCTGAATGGGGACTGTCTGGGCTGACAGCCAGTCCCCCCGGACCGGGAGCAACGCCGATCGCCGCTGGGGGAACGGCGGTGATCAGATAAGTACATATTTCCGTTATGACGGTTCAGGACCGTCACCGGTCCTCAAGGGGATGTTTCCGGTGACGGTCCTGAACCGTCATCGGTCCTTAAGGCGTTAAAAAGTGTCTTGTGGAGTCCATGTCTTGACACTTCAAAGCTTTTTTGGCAGCACAAGGGGGGACACATGATATTAAGCAGGTGGTTTTAATGCTTTGGCTTATCAGTGGATATATATACATACACACCCACACCAAAATAACAGGAATATTTTAGTGTGCAGTAATCCTTTTTTTATTTATGATAGTAACAATTCACATCAATTAAATTGTTAATAGCTTTTTCTCCTGCATCTTGGTCACCCGCCTTGCTTCCTCTCTTTCAACTATTTAATCCAAATAACTAACCCATTAATGTAAACTAATCTAGTAATCTACTTTTTTCCCGTCCATGAAATATATCCTTCCCTTACCGCTTGCCACTTTACTCCACACAAGACCCTCTGTACCTGTGCATCCAACTCGTCTTGTTTTAAATACTAGCCTGTTAATCCACCTATTGTACAGCGCTTCTGAATTTGTTGGTGCTTTATAAATAATAATAATAATATTAACAATAATAACCAGAGTTAGTAAATAGGAGGTTGTGTGGTTACCAGGACTCTTGGGGAGTCTCATTGTATTTATTTTATAAAAAAAAAGAGAAGAATGGTTAGGAATGTAAATAGCAAATGCACTTTTAATAATGGTTTAATAGGGCCTATGCTGGGTTTAAGGCTTTGTTATCCATGGGTCTTATGATCTTATGTCTGTACAAAGCTTTCATGGAGTTCCTGTACTTCTGAGCAGAAGTATTCATGCATAAAGGAATATCCTGAGAAATACGCTTAAACTGGAAGGATAAGGAGAAACTAGCCATTGTTATTTAGAGGAACACTTCAAGCACCATAGCTAATACATTATGCTGTTGTGGTTATGGTGCCAGGAGTACACTGACACCCCCTCCCGCAGTGTAAGTAGTCAAACACTTCAATAGTGGTTTGACTTCTTACTGTGGTCCACTGCATGCTGCTCCCAGTTACCTCTCAGGCATAAGGTTTCTGCATTGGAGACCTTTTTTGTTAGTGGTACATAATTGTGAAGATACAAAATGTCAGAAAATACAAAGAAGCAAGGCAACAACTTTCAGGCTACATAAAAATAAGTTTACAGAGGCAGGCCGCTGACCAGCAGCCATCTATTTTAGCTTTTTAAAAAAACATTTAAAAAAAATTCTTTATTTTTCTTTTTTTCGTTGAATGTCAATTGACAGATGTCAGTAATAGTAACAGGGATAACAGAAAATAGATACAGTACAAGGGCTAACACAGGATCACACTGTCAGCTCTACATTCCAACATAACTGTTCAACCGAAGTTAAGCACTCTCAGAACAGTGAGACCAGCTTCCTGTTATGCTACTTGGGTTATTTGGATTGGAACTCAACTGCAGCTTGTAGAACTCCTTAATTACAATAGTAAAGAAACAAAGAATCTTTAAAGTATCAATACTGTAGCTTTAAGAAAAGAGAGGATTGCTGGCAATTTGAGAATCAAACGAAGTTTTAATGATTGATAAACTTAAATGATTTGCATATAGGCAATAATCCAATAAGAAGAAAGTGCAGGTTATCAAACAATACAAAGTTCATTAATAAGTATTTCCTCAGAGATGTATTAAATAAGATTCTTCAGGTTGCTGGGAATACTCTTCAATAAAAACATTAAGCAGGTAGCAGAGAGTATTTGCAAAGCAAGAAACAGTTCATAGTAAATAAGCATGATGGGAGTGGTCCTCCATATAATTAGTAACTTGAAGCAGAGAAGATTTGAGCAAGCAGGAATTGGTTCATTAATAAATGATATTGCAGACAATAGTTGAAAGATATACTTAAGGTTAAGGTGAGTTGTCCTCCAAAAGTTCAGAGTTATAGTCCACTTGTAAAGTAGCAAAGTATCCGTTCTCCAGTAATCCTTTATGGCATGCAGCAATCCTTGCATTGGCTCCAAGGTTGGGATGGCTTGTCAGAGCTTGTGGAGCTGGCGTGTATAGCCGGAAGTAGGTCTCACAATCACCAAGCGCCTTCTCCCTGGCGTGGTCTCCCTAAGTACTGTCAGAGCCGCGTCAGAAGGGGGCAGGGCCGGCTCCGCAATGCGGAAGTGCCGAACCCGGAAGAGATACCGCATGACAGGACCCCCCACCTAAGGAGCACTCTGCGGGTGCTGTTACCTCGGTTTCTGAGGGTACCTTTTGTGAAAAGCAGTAATTAACTTTTTTGCATTAATTTCAGAGGAATTCTCCCAGGTGTTATCTTCATCTCCATAACTCTTCCATCTAATAAGGTATTGTAAGTTACCTCTATGAAGTCTGGAGTCAAGAATTCTCTCTATTTCATATTCTAATTCACCTTGAACTTCAATGGGGTCAGGCTTTTACAATTGTTCCCTATGGAAGGGATCTGGGAGAAAAGACTTGAGAAGGGAAACATGAAAAACAGGATGAAGTTTAAGTGAAGGAGGAAGTTTCAATTTCACAGCATTTTCATTAATAATGGATTCAATTTGAAAAGGTCCAAGGAAAAGAGGACTAAGTTTCTTAGGAGGACGGTTAGTAGAAATATATTTTGAAGATAGCCAAACAGTGTCACCAATTTTATATTTAGGAGGCGGTCTCCTTTTAATGTCATAATTCCGTTTATGTAAGATCATAGAACTTTCAAGGTTTTTCTTTAATTGATTAAACAATGAGGACATTTCCAAATTTTGAATAGAAACCATTGGATTCGAAGTTGTCTTGGGATCATCAGGAAACAAGGAGGAATGAAATCCATAATTTGAAAAGAATGGAGTCATTTTGCTGCTTGAATGTATGAATTATTATAGGCAAAACATCTGCTGGTTCCATTTTTGGGCTTGGTGATTCCATTATGCTACTTGGGTTACTTGGATTGGAACTCAACTGCAGCTTGTAGAACTCCTTAATTACAATAGTGAAGAAACAAAGAATCTTTAAAGTATCAATACTGTAGCTTTAAGAAAAGAGAGGATTGCTGGCAATTAGAGAATCAAACGAAGTTTTAATGATTGATAAACTTAAATGAATTGCATATAGGCAATAATCCAATAAGAAGAAAGTGCAGGTTATCAAACAATACAAAGTTCATTAATAAGTATTTCCTCAGAGAAGTTTTAATAAGATTCTTTAGGTTGCTGGGAATAATTTTCAATAGAAACATTAAGCAGGTAGCAGAGAGTATTTGCAAAGCAAGAAACAGTTCATAGTAAATAAGCATGATGGGAGTTGTCCTCCATATAATTAGTAACTTGAAGCAGAGAAGATTTGAGCAAGCAGGAATTGGTTCATTAATAAATGATATTGCAGACAATAGTTGAAAGATATACTTAAGGTTAAGGTGTGTTGTCCTCCAAGAGTTCAGAGTTATAGTCCACTTGTAAATTAGCAAAGTATCCGTTCTCCAGTAATCCTTTATGGCATGCAGCAATCCTTGCATTGGCTCAAAGGTTGGGACGGCTTGTCAGAGCTTGTGGAGCCGGCGTGTATACTCGGAAGTAGGTCCCACAATCACCAAGCGCCTTCTCCCTGGCGCGGTCTCCCTAAGTACTGTCAGAGCCGCGTCAGAAGGGGGCAGGGCCGGCTCCACAACGCGGAAGTGCCGAACCCGGAAGAGATACCGCATGACACTTCCATCGTGTATATGAGGGCCGTACTTTTGGGATATTGTAAAATTTATGTTTTCTGTTCCTGGAGATAATTGAGTTTAGTACAGTTCCAGACTCAATTATCTCTCAGGCACAGGAGATGGATTATCCTATTTTGTGTGGGAGTGTCCTGGACCTGAGAGCTAATGTCATCACAGTGTGTACTTTGCCATAGTCCCCTCTCAGGTCCAGTGGGGAATACCCCTGGAATATGTTGTAGTACACCCCTTGCATGGGGACCTGCATATAAGGCCAGTTGTGGCTGCCATTAAACAGCTCCTCTTCACCCTCAACATAGAGCCTCATCTCATGTGTGGAGGGGACAGCTATATTCACTCTGGGGATTGCTATAATCACTATACTCCCTTGAATTACAACACTTGCTCTTGTAAGAGCAGACTGCTTTACTCTCTGGTCTAGGAGAGGTCTACCCACTGGAAGCTGGATCCTGGCCTTGGCTCCAGGGTGGCTGGAGGACAGCGAGACCCCAACCAAGCTGTAACGCCGGCTGTTGGGTTTACGGTGATTATGGTGTCTGGTGGAGTGCTTAGGAGTACTCAGTGTTGCTAGGAAGCAGCAATTGGCAGAGGCACCCAGTCCGGGTGCCAGGCGGTCCGCCACAGGTGCTTTATGCAATCCAGTTTGAATTGTGTTAAGGCTGCCATGCCAGCCTACTTGATAATGAGTGTAGATGCAAAGCTTCTTAGCTGCATGTATCTAAAGTAGTCAAACATTGTAAAGGTGTTTTTGTCAGGTATTTTGTTATATTATATGATTTTGTTACTGTGATACAGGTGGCCCAACCAAGAGATGTCTCTTTTTTCAAAGATAGGAAAAATGTATTAGTGTAAGGCCAGGCGTAAAGAGCTTGTTTCTACAAATTGGGGTCATTGGTTATAGAAAGGACGACAGCTCAAATCCGTCCCTCATTTTGTCTTATGGGTCCAGTGAGTAGGTGATGGTGGGGGATGTTGATGGGGGTAAGGGTCGATGTGGTCTGGTGAGCAACATGTATAGGGATTGGTGGTCCCAACCGAATAGCATGGGTTCGAGATCCATCCATCTCTTTTTGTTAGACGGCAGGTGCCATTGTTGAATTTGGGCTAAATGTGTTGCTGTCAGGTAGTGTGCAAAGCTGGGGAGGCCCAGTCCTGAAGCTTGTTTGGGGACAAAGAGCGCGGTTTTCCATATTCGGTGTTTGCGCACATTCCAAACGAAGGAGTTAACTGGCGCTTGAAGGGCCCCTTAGGTCTGATTTGCGGAATGGTATGGGGAGGGTCTGAAAGATGTAAAGGAATCTAGGTAGGAGATTCATTTTGAGTGAGGCAACGCGACACAGCCATGATATCCCCAAGGTTCGCCATTGCGCCAGGTCTTTGTGGACTTTTTGCAGTAGGAGTGTGTAGTTTGTATCATAAAGATTTGCAACATCGTTTGTTAGTTGGATTCCCAGGTTAGTGATGGATGAGGGGCAGATGTTGAATGGGAGTAGTTCCCTGTAGTCGTTCTAGGCATGAACAGGTAAAAGTTCTGATTTTGTTAGATTACATTTTTAGCGCTTAATGTAGAATAGGTCTGTATGAGGGCCAGTGTGGCCACTATGGTTTTTTTGGGATTCGTTAAGATTAGCAAAATGTTGTCCGCATATGCCGCACTTTGAATGATTCCCCCGTACCCTCACTGCCTCTATCTCTTGGCTGGATTGCAGCGCCTGTAGCAAGGGGTCTAGTGAGATGGTGAAAAGAAGGGGCGAGAGAGGGCATCCCTGCTTTGTGCCATTGGTGATTGGGAAACGTGGCGAGGTAATGTTAGGGAGGAAGAGTGCGCCTTCCGGGTTCTGATAAATGGCCTGTAGGAAAGATGTGAAAACCTTTGGAAACCCATAGCATGCAAGGATTTGGTAGAGAAACGGCCATAAAAGGCGATCAAACGCCTTTTCGACGTCAAGCAAAATTACTTCCATTGGGACTCTTCTGTGTTGCTCTAACCATATCAGGTTTATGCTCCGTCCGATGCTTGCCTATTGGAAATGAAGCCGACGTGGTTTGGGTGGATTATCAATTCTAGGTATGGGTTAAGTCTATTGGACATTATTTTGGTTAGTATATTAAGGTCGACATTGAGGAGAGAGATGTGTCTGTAATGTTCTGGTTCCGAGTGGTCCTTATTTGGTTTTGGAAGGAGGCATATATGTGCTGTGACTATGTCTTCTGGGAGTGTATCTCCCTTCAGCAAGGTGTTGAATACTTGTGTGAGATGTGGTAGGAGAATTTGACTGAATTCTTTATAGTATAAGGCTGTGTACCCGTTTGGGCCAGGACTCTTGTTGGGCTTGAAGGTTTTAAGGGCTGTCGCCATTTCCTCTGTTGTTACTTCTGCCGCTTTTGCCCTTTTAACCTCCTGGGAAAGGGTGGGAAGGTCTAGTTTGTCTAGAAAGGTGTTGATGGCCGCCTGGTACATAGGGTCGTCTGGTGTTGGCGAGGGGGAATGGTTGTACTGGGCTGTGAAGTAACTCTGGAAGATTTCCCCTATTCGTTCTGGGACGTTGCTTAGTTGACCCGACGGATTGCGTATTTTGTCTATCCGTTTTAATTCTAGTCTGTGTTTGAGGCGGCGTGCCAGAATAGAGTCCGTTTTAATGCCTTTCTCATAGTATTTTTGTTGTAGCCACATTAGGGCTTTTGCTGTCTTGGCCTGTGTGAGTTGTTTCACCTGGTCTCTAATTGCATTTAGTAGGATCAGAATGGACGTTCGCGGCCTCGTTTGTGCCTTGTTTCTATGCAGCGTAGTTCTGTCATGGCAACTGTCAGTTGCTGTTGTTGTTGGTGTTTTTTTGCCATTGCCAGACTTATTATGTGTCCCCTGATGACTGCTTTGTGTGCAGCCTAAAGGGATATTGGGGATGTCTCTGGGCTAGCATTTAGTTCTAAGTAATCTTTGATAGTGTTGGTTATCTCATCAGTCATGAAGGAGTACTGGATTTAGTTTCCACGTCCATGGTCGTTTAAGGTAGGGAATAGTCACGTTGAGCGTGATGTCGGCGTGATCTGACCAATGTCTGTGTTGACGATTTGTGAGAGTAAGCGTGGTGAGATCAGGAAGTGGTCGATGTGTGAATAGGAGGCATGTGGGTGGGAGTGTTGAGCTCTCCAGACATCTTGTAGGTTCTGGACTTCTAAGAATTGGGCAAATAGGGTGTCATTTCTATCAGGTCGGGAATAAGTCTGGGTTCATGCTTTTCTGTCTATTACTGGGGTGTGCACTGCGTTACAGTCTCCCCCAAAAATGAGTGAAGTGTTTGAGTATGTCTGCAAATGTGTTGTGTATTGGACCCAAAATTCGGGATATGGTGAAGTCGGGGCGTATAGTGAGCTGAAGGCGGATTTTGTTGCTCCTATTTTGCATGCCACTATGATGAAATGGCCTTGCGGGTCTGTGGTGCATGCTAATCCTGCAAGGGGGGAAGATGTTCTCAGTACTATGGCCACTATTTTCGTTTTGGTGTCTGGCGAGTTTGCCAAGAAACTGCGGTTATAGTGTCTATTCGTGAGAGGAAAGGATCTAGTGGCTGTGAAATGTGTCTCTTGTAGTAGAAGAATATCTGTGTTTTGTTTGTAGGTCCATCTCATTA